AATTCAGCAAAAATTATTAATAGAATGGCAGTAAGAGTTTTTTAAAAAGTATTCTGCTTATTTACCACCTACTGCTCTCTTGAATGTATATTTGAAGGTAGCTGGCTACCAATTCAAATTATATTCAAAATGGGAAGAATAACAAACCAGAGAGGCTTCTGAAAGCCAGTGAGATCCTAGACACTCTTAAAGGTCCAATTTTACAAATCGTTTTAAGAAAGTGAGGGTATGTCTACACTACCCTCCTAGTTCGAACTAGGAGGGTAATGTAGGCATACCGCACTTGCAAATGAAGCCCGGGATTTGAATTTCCCGGGCTTCATTTGCATAAGCGGGGAGCCGCCATTTTTAAAACCCCGCTGGTTCGAACCCCGTGCAGCGCGGCTACACGGGGCACGAACTAGGTAGTTCCTTAATGTTACTGTAAGATTTGGTCTCTGGCTTAACTGGGAGCAGCAAACTGTATAGCAGAGAGTAGGTCTTAGCCCCTACAACACTTAAAAATATTGGCAACTTCTTCTCTTCGTTAATGTCATTTGCAAAAAGTTAAAAATGCTCAGTATATACCTGCCATTGCTCTATAGTTTCCTGAAAAGGTCCCAGTGGCCCTGTAAGTGTAGCCATGGCTGTTGCAACTTTTTTCTTTTTCTTTTTCTCTTTTACATCCTGTGCACCCTTCTGCACCCAGCCTTCATCCTAGACCCCACTCATCCTCCACACAAAAGTGCAGCCCTTGACCATTTTCCAAAATCTTAAAGTGGCTCCCTACCAAAAATTATTGCCCACCCTTGGTTTACACAGATTACATCTCACTGCAAATTCAGTCTCATCTATAGGAATGCCTTTATGTTCCAGCACTGAAACATGAGCATCATATGACCCCCTTCCATTCTCTTCAAACTGGATCACATCTGTTCTTCCTCATGTGACACAAAGAGAATACTCGAACAGTGGCGGGAAAGGATAAAACAGGGTCTGTCTAAAACATAAGAGCTACATTTCAATAGATGCCTTGGAAATTGATGAAGGCCATTCAGGGTTTGTCACAAAAGATAATACATATTGGTCCTCAATATGAAGGAAATTTATGTCGTGAAAGATAATTCTATGAAGCTTTCTACGAAGCTCAAAACACTTGCCAACCAAAATGAAAACATGCCTGAAAGGTGAAACACTGACAAGTCTACAGACCATATAACATCTTTTTCATCTAGGGCAAATGAAATACTAGGTAGTTTTAGATAATTAATCTTGGTACATGTTAAACTTCCTTAATTGTGCTCAGCATAGAAATAAAATGCACAGAAATTAAAAAGTATATTGGCTGTCTCTTAGACACAGGCAGCCTGGGAAACATTCAGTACTCCAGGTTGTGACAATTATGATCAGTGAGCCAGAAAATACTTAACACAGTGAGACATACTGAAGAAATGTTTGTTTGGGTGAGATGTTGTGGTGGTGTCCTCCATTTCTGGATGAAAATATACTCTGAACATTTTTGGCTGAGTCATCCTATCATCTTGCTAATGAAGCAGGAATTTAAATATCCTGTGCTTCATTAGCATAAACATGGCTGCTGCTTTTTTTCGAAATGGATTTTTTTTGAAAAAAAAAGGCAGTCTAGACGCAGATCTGTCAAAAATAAACCCTTTTTCGAAAGATCCTGTATTTCTCAAAAAATGAGGTTTACAGGATCTTTTGAAAAAGGGTTTATTTTTCAACAGATCCGCTTCTAGTCTGCCTTTTTTCAAAAAAGGTCCATTTAGAAAAAAAGCAGTGGCCATGTTTATGCTAATGAAGCACAGGATATTTAAATCCCTGTTTCATTAGCAATTGCAATGTGCTTGATTTGCATCCCTCTGCCAACAGAGGGATGCAGTCTAGACATAGCCTAAAAGTTGGGCAGTGTAGTTGCTGTTGTCAGTTTTTTTGCTGTCAAAATACTTCTGCCTCCAATGAGCAGTATTTGTTCTCCTGCTGACAATATGCCATTCATCGTGGCACTTGTCATGACAAAACTTTTGTCTTTCAGGCTACGTTTACAGTTTACCTCCGGTATCCCGGAATAGCTATTCTGCGTCTTAAGAGCAAGCCTGTTGTATTGAAATATAACAAGCTCACTATTCCGATGTCTCTGTAAACCTCATTGCATGAGGGTAAAGGAACATTTCAGAATAGCGCTTTATTTCGAGGTAAGGGTGATGTATGGACACACCCTCAGTAGGGTTTTTTTTATACCTCTGAATGATAAAAGTTTGTCTTTCAGTTGTCAGTGTAGACATAGCCTTACTGACCTACCACAGTCCAAACATTGAAAATTTCCTGGAAATAGGAACTGCTTATCCAGTTTTAAAATCAGATGTATTATAACCTTTACCCACATGTGTAAATTGCTTGGAGGGCTCCTTTGTGTGTCAGTTTTATATATCAACTTTCAGATAGATTATGCCAAGTCAATGGGGTTCTTAAACCTGCGAAACACCTCTGCCTGACTTCCAAGAGTGCGCAACCATGATGAGTGGTGGCTGACCCAGGAGAAACCAAAGCAGGGAAAATATTTTTGGATTGAAAAAATCTTTGTATTTAATGATAGAAAACTACAGGTAGTTGAAATAATTGCAAATGCATTTTTATCATAACAAATAGCATCTTTAAAATATGGACATTTTGTGTAAAAATCAAATTTACTTTTCATTATTGGTTCTGTGTAGGGGGTATGTGTATTTTAGATAATCCTTTTTGCATTTATTTTAGCTTGGTCAAGACTGAAGAAAGTACATTTGTTAGTTTCACTTTTGTTTTTAGTCACTGTCTAGTCAAGTTTCAATTTCAGGATCTCATGATCTTTGTCTCTTGCTTTAGTGTTTGTGTTGAAAACAAATGCATGGGAATATTTACTTCTTAAAAAGATACTTTGAATTTTAAAAATCAAGGGAAATACTTATGATCTTAGATTTTACAATAGGCTTTGTAAACTAAGTTTAGGGACAAATTTGACCTAGCAAGTAACCTTTTAATATAGTTAAAACAAATTTTTCAGTAGAGGACAACTCTATATATACAGAAATTAATTTGTGACATGATGTTGTTATTATTATAAACTTTACTTAGATAAAGGTACATGTCTGTTTTGTTTGCACTGTATTGAGGAGTTGTCTTATGTTGAACAAAATCCACTCTGAAAATAACAGCTTGGCAATTTCCTTACTTGCTTTTGATGAGTCGTTAGGGGACAACAGTTTGCAGGTGTTGACCTACATTTGTGTAACTGAAAAGTTAAGGAAAGTGCCTCTGAATTATCTACTCAGCTACACTAGTACAAACTACTTGCCTTTGAAATGTAAATAGCTTAGACCTAGATGTGTAAGAGCAGCAATACTGTAGTCAAGTGTCTGTCAGCATCACATTACTTCAGAAAAAAAATGTGAATTTAAAGTCCTGGTGAAAGGTATAGACTGACATTCCAAATGCAGGGAAATTGTTCTTAATCGTTTTGCTTTCTGGTGCTTATGAAGCAAAATGGTACACATAAATCTAATTTTTATAACATTTTGCATACATATAGATATTGTCCTGGCCTAGAGAACACACTTTGTTCTAACTATAATGATCTGATATTTTATGTTTTATTATTTTTTATCTTTGAAGTTCTGTTTCTGTTGCATTCTGGAAAAATATGGGCTCCCTCCAGTGGCCAAAGTAACACCTGTGCTCTAATTAGTGTTACCCAAAGACAGTTTTTCTGCCTGCTTGTTAAGGTATTGTCTTTGTATTAGAAGTACTAAATTCAGACTCGTTTAAAATTGTATTTTTATTTAAAACAATGTTTTTATTTGACGCATACCAGTAATTTTTTCAACCTATAAGGTCTCATCACTTCAAGCTATTCCTTATTGATTTAAGATAAATTGATATAAGGCACTTAAACCAATTTGATAAGAGTCCTCACTTGAGGGTTGTATTATTTTAACTAAATCAGTTTTAGGTACACATGTTGTGTGTAGTCAAGAAATGTTTTTTATCAAAGGTAGTTTGCTGAATATTGACCTCACTGATTTGTGCCTGCAGGAAGTTAAAGGCAGGAGTGATCAGATTTGTACCCACAATTCAGGTGCAGGTACAATTTATATTCACAAAAAACTTAGAAATCGGTCCTGGCCCTGCAGTACTTTCTCAGTCAAAACTGCAGTTTAACCGATCCGAGTTTTGCCCGAGTAAGACACACTCAGGTCCATCTGCCGTAAAGCAAACATCGAATCAAAATAGGTATTGGCCCTGGTACAGTTTGCGCTGCCACTGGGGGGCTGCGTGGGCAGCCCGGCCACACGTTTTCTATTGACGATTTTCTTTCCAGCCTTGTTCACTGCACTGGTGTTCGGTGTGGATAGCGGTTGGACTCGTGCCAGCTGCACCGGTGCATTTTGCAGGGAGCATCTAGCTGGGCAATTTTCGCTTCGCTTCCAGTCAGGCTCTGCACGGCGCAGTGGGCTCTGGAAGGAGCGCGCGCGTTAAGTCGGTGCCGCATTCGAAGCCCCCTCCGCGCGGGCGCATCTGGCACGTGCAGTGCGAGAGGTGCCCAGGTGCGCGGGCGAGAGCCGCGAGCCTTCCCGCGCAGAGCGGACTGGCCAAGATGGACGCGCCCGGCCCGTGCGAGAGGCGGGGGAAGACCGGGCCCACTCGCGCGCTAGGAGGAGAGCAACCAGACACTGAGTCGCGGCGCTGATTGGCTCTGCCACCCAATTGATTTGCATGCCGCAGTTTGTCTTCCCCCGTCACGTGATCAGAGGGGGGTAACGCCGAGGCTTCCTGTTTGAGGTCAGAGAGGGGAGGGGGGCCTCTCTTTGCTCTCGCGCTGCCTGGTGGGGTTCTTGTCAGTTAGCAACAAAATGGCCGCGGTGGCAGCAGCTCTGCTCCTGAGGAAG